AAGCAAACGTCACTTACAAAACTCGTAAGGTAAGATTAAACACGTCATATGTTTGTTGAATAAACGCTACGTTTCATGGAGTTTTTAGGAGCATATAAGCCAACGTCACTTAAAATGCACGTAAGGAAAAACTAAACATGTCGTATGTTTGTTGACTAAACGGTATATTTCATATAGCTTTCGGTAACATATAAGCTAACTTCACTTAAAGTACGTGTAAGGTAAGATTAAACACGTCGTATGTTTATTGAATAAACGTTACATTTCATATTGCTTTCGGTAACATATAAGCTAACGTCACTTAAAGAACTCGTAAGGTAAGATTAAACACGTCGTATATTTGTTGAATAAACGCAACGTTTCATAGAGTTTTTGGTAATATATAAGCCATCGTCACTTAAAATGCGCGTATGGAATGTTTAAACATGTGGTATGTTTGTGGAATAAACGTTACATTTCATATAGCTTTTGGGAGCATATAATCCACCGTCACTTAAAATACGCGTATGTAATGATTAAACATGTGGTATGTTTGTGGAATAAACGTTACATTTCATATAGCTTTTGGGAGCATATAATCCACCGTCACTTAAAATACGCGTATGGAAAGATTAAACACACCTTATTGTTGTTGAATAAACGCTATATTTCATATAGCTTTTGGGAATATATAAGCTAAAGGGGGGAGGTTCTCCCCCCGTTCGCTTAAAGTGTGCGTAGAGAAAGATTAAACACGTCGTTTATTTGTTAAATAAACGCTACCTTTCATATAGTTTTTGTTAACATATAAGCTAAAGGGAAGAGATACCTCCCCGTTCACTTAAAATACCCGTAGGGAAAGATATAACACAGCGTATGTTTGCTGAAAAAAAAACGCTACATATCATCCATAGCTTTTGGAAACATATCATTTAAAATATGCGCGATGGATTAAACACGTCGTATTGTCACCGTATTGTTGTTGAATAAACATATCATTTAAAATATGCGCGATAGATTAAACACGTCGTATTGTCACCGTATTGTTGTTGAATAAACGCTACCTTTTATATTGTTTTCGGGATCATATAGGCTAAAGGGGGGAGGTTCTCCCTCCGGATCCGTTGGCTTAAAGCGTGCGTAGAGAAAGATTAAACGCGTCGTATATTTGTTGAATAAACGCATCGTTTCATAGAGGTTTTGGGAACATATAAGCCAGCGTCATTCAGAAAACGCGTACAGAAAAATTAAACACGTCGTATGTTTGTTGAATAAACGTTACATTTCCTTTAGCTTTCGGGAACATATAAGCCAACGTCACTTAAAATACGCGTAAGGTAAGATTAAACACTCCGTATATATGTTTGTTTACTAACCGCTACGTTTCATATAGCTTTGGGGAATATATAAGCCAACGTCACTCAAAATGCGCGTATGGAAAAACTAAACACGTCGTATGTTTGTTGAATAAACGCTACATTTCCTTTAGCTTTCGGGAACGTATAAGCAAACGTCACTTACAAAACTCGTAAGGTAAGATTAAACACGTCGTATGTTTGTTGAATAAACGCTACGTTTCATGGGGTTTTTAGGAATATATAAGCCAACGTCACTTAAAATGCACGTAAGGAAAAACGAAACATGTCGTATGTTTGTTGACTAAACGGTATATTTCATATAGCTTTCGGTAACATATAAGCTAACTTCACTTAAAGTACGTGTAAGGTAAGATTAAACACGCCGTATGTTTGTTGAATAAACGTTACATTTCATATTGCTTTCGGTAACATATAAGCTAACGTTACTTAAAGAACTCGTAAGGTATAAGATTAAAAACGTCGTATATTTGTTGAATAAACGCAACGTTTCATAGAGTTTTTGGGAATATATAAGCCAACGTCACTAAAAATACGCGTATGGAAAGATTAAACACGCCTTATTGTTGGTGAATAAACGCTATATTTCATATAGCTTTTGGGAATAAATAAGCTAAAGGGGGGAGGTTCTCCCCCCGTTCGCTTAAAGTGTGCGTAGAGAAAGATTAAACACGTCGTTTATTTGTTAAATAAACGCTACCTTTCATATAGTTTTTGTGAATATATAAGCTAAAGGGATCCCTCCCCGTTCACTTAAAATACCCGTAGGGAAAGATATAACACAGCGCATGTTTGCTGAAAAAAACCGCTACATATCATCCATAGCTTTTGGAAACATATGAATTAAACTGCGCGTTGCAATTGGGGGAGATTAAACACGTCGTATTGTCACCGTATATGTTTGTTGAATAAACGCTACCTTTCATATTGTTTTCGGGATCATATAAGCTAAAGGAGGGAGGTTCTCCCCCCCCCCTTCGCTTAAAGTGTGCGTAGAGAAATATTAAACGCGACGTATATTTGTAGAATAAACGCTACCTTTCATATTGTTTTCGAGTACATATAAGCTAAAGGGGAGAGGTTCTCCCCCGGGCCCGTTCGCTTAAAGCGTGCGTAGAGAAAGATTAAACGCGTCGTATATTTGTTGAATAAACGCTACCTTTCATATTGTTTTAGTGAACATATAAGCTAAAGGGGGGATGTTCTCCCCCCGTTCGCTTAAAGCGTGCGTAGAGAAAGATTAACACGTCGTTTATTTGTTGAATAAACGCTACCTTTCATATAGTTTTTGTGAAAATATAAGCTAAAGGGAGGAGGTACACGGTACCCCCCCCCGTTCACTTAGAATACCCGTAGGGAAAGATTAAACACGTCGTATGTTTGTTGAATAAACGTTACCTTCATATAGTTTTTGTGAAAATATAAGCTAAAGGGAGGAGGTACCTCCCCGTTCACTTAGAATCACTTAGACTAAACA